GGATGGGATGAATTGGGAGATTGGGATTGACATATATACACTATTGATACTACGTATAAAATAGATAACTAATGAGAACCTACTGTAAAGCACAGGGAACTCTACTCAGTGCTCTGTGGTGACCTAAATGGGAAGGAAATCTAAAAAAGAGGGGATATATGTATACATATAGCTGATTCACTTTGCTGTAGAGCAGAAACTAACACAACATTGTAAAGCAACTATACTCCGATAAAAATTAATTTAAGATAAATAAATAAAATTTCAAAAAGAACAAGGCAATATTATGATAACAAGGTGACACAATGAGGTCTAGGTTGAGGTCACATGACTTCCCAGTAGTCTTTCCCTAAGTTATTTGCTGACTGCTAATTTCACTCTTTTTTTTTTTTAATGTCTTCCAGCTCTCATTTCCCCATAATTCAAATATGAAATCTTACTATCAAGGTCTCAATATTATAAAGGGCTGTAATTGAAAAAAGATCTTTTCAGCAAACTTTCATGATTTAAAAACTGTTAGACAGCACTGAGTTTAGGTGAAGGAATCCGGTTTTGGATAGTCAAAGAAAATAGAAATGTAAGATATTGGAGGGGGTGCAAAACACGTCATTCTGTCAAATATTCCAAATAATCTCAATTCAGTTATCTCTTGATTTTTGACAAATTAACAAATAGGCTATTAAAACTAACATATATTTCAGGGAGTTCCCTGGCGGTCCAGTGGTTAAGACTCTGCACTTAACCACTGGAGATGTGTTTGATCCCTGGTCAGGCAACTAAGATCCCATGTGGCGCAGCCAAAAAAAAAAAGTTAACGTGTATTTCAAAATAAAACTTAGTCATTGATTTCAGCCACCAGACTTTCCACCAGAATAATGAAAATAACTGATTCAGATTTGTTTTCCCATCCTGTTCTCTGATCACCTGTTGGTCAGGTGGGCCTGAGTCTGGTATAGAAAGGAAGTGTAGTCACTGCCTAAGTGACTGGGAGGGTCAGGAGAGGGAGACCAAGGCATTGTGATGTTACTGTTAGCAGCCTGTTAACTCCAGTCCTCTTTCAGGTCTCAATTTACTTCTCCCAGAAGTCCTCCTTGTCCTCCTAGACTAGGACAGCCCCCCTGTTACACACTCTCATAACACCCTACCCTTATCACAACAGTAACCAAATAATTATTTCTGTAATTAATTGTTTCATGTCTGTCACCTCCACTAGACAATACGTTCTATGAATCACAGGTTGTGTGCATTTGGTTCAGTTTTACAGTACCTAGCACAATGCATGGCATATTATACATGGTCAAGAAATATTTAATGAATAACTGAAAAAAGGGAAGCAAATGATTTTCAAAAGATGCTCAGCCTCACTCATAAATAAAGAAATAAAAATGAAAACATCAATGAAATACTATTTTCTACTTATCAAATGAAAAGTTCAAAAAATTTGATAATACACACAAAAAATTTGTGTTGTTGGCAAGAGTGCAGTGTGACAGGTGGCCCCTGTGGGGAGTGCTGTAGGTTGGCAATTTCTTCGAAAGAAACTTAGCAAAATATTTCAAAACATAAACGCATATACTCTTTGACCCAGCAATTTCACATCTAAACTTTTATTCTACTGTCACACTTTCATTTATATTCAAAGACCCATGTACGAGGACATTCATGATTTTGCTTGAATAGAAAAAGAGTCCTAAAATCATACAGGAGAATTAAATAAATTATGGTAGTACCATATAATAAAATGCTACATAGCAGTGAAATGATGAGATTTTTATATATGATACATATAAAGCATTTAATCATTTTTATAAAAATATAAATAATATATATTTAATCAATATGTGTATTGATTAAAAATAATATCCAAGACGCATAAGTGGAAAAAATAAAATGTAAAACAATGTTTATATTACATTCCCCTTTATTGTTGTGGTGGTTTTCAAAAATATATATGTGCATACAGGATATATCTAGGAACATACATAAGAACTGGTAATAGAAGTTGCTTCTGGTAGGGGAAAGACTGGGAAATTAGAATCTGCCACAGAAGAAAAACTTTTTTTAAATTCAGGATATTTTTCTTTATTATAGCTATAGTTATTAACTTTCTGTTCCTTTTTTATTGAACTATAGTTGATTTACAATATTGTGTTACTTTCAGGCATACAGCCAAGTGATTCAGAGACGGATATATAGATATAGATTCTTTTTCAGATTCTTTTCCATTATAGGTTATTACAAAACATAGAATATATATGCTTTGTAGCATAATCACTTCTGACCTCCTCACTCCTCTCTAAACTTCAGAAGGACAGTGCAGCTTTGGATGTCCTGAAATGCTGGTCAAATTCAGAATGCAGATCCATTCAGCACAGTGATTTTAAAACTTTCAAAGGGTTGATGTCATTTAAAAGTTGGAAGATTTTTTATAAAAAACTGGGTTTCCTGCTTCTCTTGAAAATTCAGTTCACGCTGGACTGAATTCAATTCACACTGGACTTGTACTCCTCCTTAGAAAATGCTAAGGCTGAGTAGTGGCCACCTCTTTAAGATGGGACCTGTGTTCTCCAGTTCACCCAAATTCCCATCTTTCATAGTCTTTAAACCTCATTCATACTCTGAAGGCATTTGAGATTGTAATCTCTGCTTCTAACATCTCTACAGAGTAAGGGATGGATGGATGGATGGATGGATGGAAGGAGAAACGAACAAACTAACCCAGCATGTGGCAAAATTCACATCTTCCACATGACTCCTGCTTTCCAGGGAGCTCAACAGCTGAATTCTCATATCAAGCCACTCTTCTTCTCTGTTCTTTTCTTGTCCTGGGTCATGTTCAGAAAAATTCTGGGCTAAGTCTGAGTGGAGAAAAGAGATACTTCTTTTTAATAAGGACTTTCCATTTTCCCTCCTAAAACACAGAATGAGTATGAGGCAGCAGTCAAAATTTTTTTTAAAAAAATCACTCCTGGGACTTCCCGGGTGGTGCAGTGCTTAAGAATCCTCCTGCCAATGCAGGGAACACGGGTTCGAGCCCTGGTCTGGGAAGATCCCACATGCCGCAGAGCAACTAAGCCCGTGAGCCACAACTACTGCAGCCCGCGTGCCTAGAGCCTATGCTCCGCAACAAGAGAAGCCACCGCAATGAGAAGCCCGCGCACCGCAACGACGAGTAGCCCCCACTCGCCGCAACTAGAGAAAGCCCGCGCACAGCAACGAAGACCTAACCCAGCCCAAAAAATATAGATAGATAGATAGATAGATAGATAGATAGATAGATAGATATAATTCCTGTGTCTCTGTATGTGAAACTAGGAAAGTAAAAACTCAAGAGGGATCCAAGCAAGTCACAGCGTTTGCTTTGATGTGCTCCCGGTGACCCACGCTGAAGCAACACATGGCTATGGATTCCCATTGTTAGTGTAAATGTGACTTTTCTTACACAAGGGGAGTGGTTTTGATCGATTCAAAGGGCCCTGTGGGCAGCCAGGGATCAGCATAAAGGGTGAAAAGGTGAGCAATAAATATGTCAGTGCCTTGACACAATTAGGTTTATAAAAAAAGCACTGAAGCAAAATGGAATATAGCGGGTTTACAAAAACAGCTGACATGTTCTATGTTTTAGAGAAGGATTTATGGCTAATTAACTGTCCAGAACAATTCTAACTCCTGTACATAGCAAAACATAAGCTGAGACAAAGAATGATTGATTTTAGTGCGAAAGTCCTGTATTGTGAAATGAGAGAGAAAGGGAGGACAGTGTAAGGCAATTATTTGGAAGTATTGAGTTTGCACAGCTTAGATGTGGAATCAGGATTTTGCAGGAGACTGGGTTTTGTTGCTGCTGCTCTTGTTCTTATAGCTGTTGTTGTGTTGTTTTAAAATATCTTGCGGTAAGGCAATAGTTATATCTGTCATGGAAAAGAGACTGATTTACCAGAACTTTTTGAAGTTACTGCTACTGGAATCCAACAGGAGAAGGTATTCATCAGCTCCCATGTACACAGATTATCATGCTGTCATTACAAGAGAGGAAAGAAGAGCTTTTGGCTTTAACAGTAACTACTTTTCCATGTTTAGAGTTTCATCTGGATTTCACGGGCACTGAGAAAGTGCCCATAATAGGAACAGGAGCAATCATATTTTGAAAATGTAAGTTTCTGTTCAAATCATTCTGTGTCCTGAAATAAATCCTTTCTGCCATCGGTTCCATATGCATCCACTTTTCCTAGCCTTGAAACACAGCTGAACCAAGAGTGTCTATACCACTAATGAACATCAGTCTAATACCAAACATCTACATTCAAAATAAGGCCTAAGCACAGACAACAGCACCAGGATTCATCTTCTGGTTCTCTCTTTCCTCCACTCTCTCTAAAGATCAATTGCTCTGACTTTGGTTACCCACCTCCTCCCTCCAGAAAGCGTCTAAGAGAGGTAAGTGAGAATATAACCACAGGAAAAGGAGGAGCTAAAGTCTAACACCAGAAGACATGGACAACAGAAGATAGAGGGTGGTCTACCAAGAGGGAAAATAGGTTGGATGAAGTTTAAGTTGGTAGAGGAATTAAGATAAAGATAAACAAACAGCTTGCTTTTTGAAAGGGAAAAACTAGGCTCTAGATTATTTCCATTAGCTGATGTCAAGCTCCAAAAAATACAAACTGGCTTTTTCTTTTATTTATTTGTTTGCTTGTTTGTTTTTGGCTGCGTTGGGTCTTCGTTGATGCCCTTGGGCTTTCTCTAGTTGCGGTGAGGGGGGCTACTCTTCGTTGCTGTGCAGGGGCTTCTCATTGCAGTGGCCTCTCTCGTTGCAGAGCACGGGCTGTAGGCACACAGGCTTCCAGTAGTTGTGGTGCACAGGCTTAGTTGCTCCACGGCATGTGGGATCTTCCCGGACCAGGGCTCAAACCCATGCCCCTTGCGTCGGCAGGTGGATTCTTTTTTTTTTTTTTTTAACAGGGAAAAGAAAGTAGAGTTTATCGGTGGGAATAGGGAGGGAGGGGGCAGCGCCAAGGCTCTCACGAGTGCAGGGCCCGCCATTTGTCCAGGGGGCCACGATTAGGGAGGTACTTGACCCTATAGCCATCTGGAATGAGCCACTTTTCTGCCACCATGTTTTCAAACTCATCTGCATTAAACTTAGTAAATCCCCACTTCTTGGAGACGTGGATCTTCTGGCGGCCAGGGAACCTGAACTTGGTCCTGCGGAGGGCCTCAATCACATGCTCCTTGTTCTGCAGCTTGGTGCGGATGGACATTATGACCTGGCCAATGTGGACCCTGGCCACTGTGCCCTGGGGCTTTCCAAAGGCACCACGCATACCTGTCTGGAGCCTAGATTGGGGACAGCATGCCAGTCATTAATGTCCACTGGAAAGGGCTGTCTCCAAGGTCCCTTAGGGCAACCCACACAGGCAACAGGCCGCATATACTACAGAGGAGGCTGCTGTTTGCAGCCATTGCACACCGGGCCCCCATGGGGAAAAGAGCACAGTCGGCTTAACTGGCTGCAAAGGGCAGGTGGATTCTTAACCACTGCGCACCAGGGTAGTCCCCAAACTGGCTTAAACATAGAGTTGATTAGCACTTAGAAAAGAAACTGGAGATAACTCAGAGCAAGTTTCACAAATTAACCTCTTTTTTTTTTTTCCTGATAGGGCATCTATATTGGTAGATCAGAGATAGATAACTGATGTTAGTTAGGGATTTCAGAGAGTCATGTGTCAAAGTCTTTCATAATAGTTTGGTAGGCAAAATGGAGAAACCAAGGCAATGTGATAGTACAGATAAGACCAGCAACTCTATGATGGAAGGGATTGTCACTAACGTGTTCACTGCTATGTCTTCTCTATGCAACACAAAGCCTGACCCAGGCTCAAAAAATTTGCATTGATTTAGTAGTTAGGTGCATTCACTGATGTACCAAAACACATTGTTTTCTGGATCTCTGTCAACAGATTTTATTTTATTTGTCTCCGTATCTCCAGGGCATTAGAAAGTACCTGGCATACAGAAGTAGGCATTTAATAAAATGTGATAGATGAATGAATAAGTCTATAGATCTTCTATAAATTCTTACAAGGTTCTTTTCTTAGTCTTAACCTAGTCAATGTCCTGAACAATGACTTGGTTGAAGATACATTAAAACAAGGGATTATCAGTTATTACAATTGTATACATTAAAACAATTAACACATGAAATACAATGGACCAAAAGGACATAGATCAATACCTATATGACAAAATTTAATATCACTAAATGTATATTTTTAAAATGCACAAATGAAGGATAGCAGAGTTCCCAGCGTGAAGTAATTTACTCTGTAAAAAGATATGACAGCTGTCATCAAAAAGACCACAAATAACAAATGTTGGCAAGGATATGGAGAAAAGGGAAACCTGTACCTTGTTAGTGGGAATGTAAATTGGTACAGCCACTATGGAGAACAGTACAGAGGTTCCTCAAAAGACTGAAAATAGAACTACCATATGATCCAGCAATTCCACTCCTGGGTATATATCTGAAGAAATGAAAACACTCTTAAGGGAAATCAGAAAATATTTTGAATTTAATTAAAATAAAAATACGACATACAAAAAATTGTGGTATATAGTGAAAGCAGTGTTTATAGGGTAATTACATCATTGCTTATTTATATTAGGAAAGAAGAAATGTAATCCACTATATTAATAGCCAAAAAAAACACATGATCATCTCAACTGATGCAGAAAAAAATGTTTGATAAAGTCAACATCCATACCAGATAAAAACTCTCAGCAAACTAGGAATAGATGAATTCTTTCTCAATCTATTGAGAAAAGGCACACTCAAAAAAAAACACAAACCCTACAGCTAATATCATACTAACTGATGAAAGACTGAATGTGTTCCCTCTAACGTCAGAAATATTACAAGGATGTTCACTCTCACCACGCCAATTCAACATAATACTAGAACCCTTAACCAGTGAAATAAAGCAAGAAAAAAAATGCACACAGGTTTGAAGGAAAAAATAGAACTGTTTCATAGACAATGTGTAGAAAATCCCAAGGGAATCTATAAAAAACCTCCTAGATCTAAAAAGTGAATTTAGCAAGATCACAGGCTGCAAGGCCAAAAGACAAACGTCAATCATATTTTCATTTAGCAGCAATAAACAATTAGATACTGAAATTTAAAACACAATACCACTTACAGCAGCCCCCAAAAATGAAATATCTAGGTATAAATCGTGTAAAATATTTACAGGAACTGTATGCTGTAAACCTTATAACACTGGTTTTAAAATAGACCTAAGTAAATGGAGAGACATGCTATATTCAAGGATTGGAAGACTCGGTAAAAATGCCAATTGATCTACAGGTATAATGCAATTCCAGTCATAATCCCAGCGGGATTTTTGATATATATAGGAAATCTATGGGAAAGCAAAGGAACTAGAATAGCCACAATAATTCTGAAAAAGAGAAATAAATTTAGAGAAATCGCACTACTCTATTTTAAGTTTTACTACAAAGCTACAATAATCAAGAGAGTATATTATTAGCACAGGAATAGACACAAATCAACAGAACAGGATAGAGTCCAGAAATAAAATCACACATATATTAATTTTGACAAAAATGGAAAGGCGTTTCAATGGAGAAAGGATAGTTTTTTCAATAAATGGTGTTTGAACAATTGGACATCCATATGCAAAAAAAAAGAACCTCAACCCATACCATGACTCATAAACAAAATTTATCAAAGTGGGTCATAGATCTAATTGTAAAGCACAAAACTATACAATGGTTAGAAGAAAAAAAATAAAAAGAGATTCATGGCTTGGGTTTAGGTAGAGTTCTTGGACATGACACCAAAAACACAATCTCTAAAAGAAAAAAATTGATAAACTGGACTTCATCCAAATTAAAATTTCTATTCTATTATAGATATTCACTGTTAAGAGAATGAAAGACAACCTACAGACTGGGGGATATTATTGGCAAATCATATGTTTGTTAAAGACATATCTATTATATATATGTATATATATATATTTCTCAAAACTCAATAATAAAACAACTTAAAGCTTGAGAAAAAACTTGAGCAGATATTTCACCAAAAAGGATATACAGAAGGCAAATTAGTATAGTCCAACATCTTTAGCCATTAGGGAAATGCAAATTAAAACCTGGATGAAATCAGTAAACACTTATTAGAATGGCTAAAATTTTTTAATACTGACAATACCAGGTACTGGCAAGTATGCAGAACAACTCTAACTCTCAAATATTGCTGGTGGAAATGCAAAATGGTACAGCTACTCTGGAAAATCATTTGAAAGTTTTTTTATAAAGTTAGGTGTATCTCAACAATTCCACTCCTCAGTATTTAGGAGAAATGAAAACTATGTTTGTACAAAAACTGGTACATGGTTGGTTACAGTAACTCTATAAAAATTGCCCCAAACTGGAAAAAACCAAGTATCTTTAAACTGGCAAAGAGATAAACAAGCAATGGTACATCCATATAATGTAATACTCAGCAATAGAAAGGAATGAACTATTGATACATGCAACAAGTTGAATGAATCACAAAGGCACTATGATGAGTGAAAAAAGCCAGTCCAAAAGTTACGTACTGAATGATGCCAACTGTATGACATTCTTGAAAAGACAAAACTATAAGTGATAGGAAACAGACTAGTACTTTCCAGGGCTGAGAAGTCAGAGGAGGGTGTGATTACAAAGGTATAGTAGAAGGAAATTTGAAGGGGGGGGGGGCGAGCGATGGAATTGTTTTGTATCTTGATTGTGGTGGTGGTTACACAAATCTATACATGTGTTAAGATTCACAGAACTGTTCACTAAAAATGTTAATTTCACTGTACGTTAATTTTTTAACTATACAAATTTTAAAAATAAGATATGACAGTTTTTATTGATCACAGTTCAGTATATGCCAAAAGTATGATGATTACCAAAACAAATAAAAAAAACAACAAACAAAAAACAACCAAACAACAACAACAACAAAACCCAGCTTGGGCTGCATTACTGGGAGAATTAAATCCAAATCAAAGCAAGTTATAGACCCATTAGACCCTAAATTGATCAGACCACATCTATAGTATTCTGTTCTATTCGGACATTGATAAAATTAACTGTCTTGAGGAAGGAGACCACGATAGCTGGGGGATGGTGGAAAGAATTGAGATATTTAACTTGGAGTAAGGAAGGAATGACATGGTAACTCTCTCACTATAGGAAAATTGCCCATTAGTTTACTAAGTCTTATTCTTTACTACTCCTGAGGCAAGAACTGGGTTCCCTAGAAAGTAGCTGCAAGAAGGCAGTCCTCAAATCATTATACAGAAAAGCTTTATTATACTTCAAGATGGGAATAAATAAAATGACTTGCCTAGGTAAGCAGTGAGCTTCTCGTCATTGGAAATCATTGAAAATGTTTAAGCAGATGTTAAATAACCATCTATCAAGGTTATTGTCAAAGGGATTACTTCATTGAGTAGAAGATTGATCTCTTTAACCTCTAAGGTCTCTCCAAACCCACCTCCTTTATTCTAAATTATAAAGGATGTTGTAAATCACCCTCACCCCGTGTGTACCTCCAACTCCCTACAACTCATTACATTGTACATTATATAGAGTGCTCACAAAATCCCCATGGACTCCTCCTAACACTAACTGTCCCAAAACAGCCTTCCAGGATGTTTTAATGATTTCCAACCAGCAACAGGGAAGATGTGCAGAACATGTTAAAAATTTAAAAATAAAAAAATTTCAAAAAATAAACTAAACTTGCTCATAGAACAAATAGGTAACTTCTAATAAGAATATATAGGGAATGTTTGGCCCTGCTCTATCTATGTTTGAAGAGTTATTGTATCATCCTAAAAATGGACTAATGTGAGGTTTGAGACCTATTTTGAGTTACCTTTGCTCTAGTCTAGAAAAGGAAACTGGGAAGTTTCATGTCTTAAAATTGACCAAAAAAAAAAAGAAAATGCCCCTATTCTTTCCTGTCCTTTTCAATTCTTTGACTCTCACTCATGTTTTACTCTTTCGTTTTTCTCAATCTGCATTACCTAGGCCTAGACCTTTCAGAAGTCTCCTACAAATTAAGAGCAAGAGCACCTGGTTAAGGCCATAGTGGGCAGCACAGCGGGCTTAGCAGACATCAAGCCAACAGGACTGGGATGAGGGGAAGGCTACGGAGGTCAGTTTAGTCTGGCAGGACATGAGTCAGGGCAACCGATTAGTACTGGTACTACCTGAAGTTGGAAGAGCAAAATTTAAAGCAGCAGATCAGGCATGGGTTAGACAGGACTTCAATC